ACCTCCTTTCTGCTTGAGCAACTGAACTGCCTCTCTCAGCGAGCAGCTGGTTTGTGTGGGAGATAGATAGCAGTACCTAGTAGAAGACTGTGGTATTGCCTGCTGCAGAAACCATTTCGAGCCTCACCACCTTCCTCTCTAGGTGCAGTGTGTGACCATGCAGCAAATTCTAACAGCAAATCATACTCAAGCTTGTAAAATAGATTGGCTGCCAGATTCCTCTTTGTTTTGAGAACATGGCAAAAAACCTGGGTGCCTGTCACAGATTATGTTGGCAGAGAATCACTGGCAGGCCCTCAGATGGAAACAGAATGAGAGATACAAGACAAAATCCCTGGTTTCAGAACTTCACTCTGATTTAGCAGAGTACGGCAAGAGTCAAGTAAGAGTGAACTAAAATTTCAGGAATCCTGGGGGTTTTTTGCTTCTGACCGAAACTGGCCTCATGTTCTGGGAGGCAATGTGGGAAATGTTGAAAATGAAGAAGAAAGCACTATGACATCTGTTCCCACCTATTCCTCCATTATTAATAACAGCATTTTTTTCACCACCCTCCTTAGCCAGCCAGCCAGCCATCTGTAATATCAAAGAGAACACCTTAGGTTGTTCCACTTCTGACATGGCAGTATTCAGACAGCACATATTTTAACAGGATTCAAAGACTCCGGATTCTGCAGCCATGTGGGATTTGGAGCTTCCTGTCAGCAGAAATAGATCTCTTTGCACTCTGAGTGCAAAAACTGATCACTTGAGCTAAAGCAGCACTAGCTCTCCACGGCATACAGCATGCAGTGGGACAGCTCTGTTCCCACACAATAGTAGCTGGTGGTACAGATACGTGTGAACTGAACAATTCAATGCAATATCACATTTCTGGCTGAGATTTTTTTTCGTATTTTGGGTTTCCCACAATGGATTATTTTGAATCCAGCTTCACTGCCTGATCTGTTTACTGGTTAGGATGTTTATTTTTCCTGGAGAAAAGAAAAACAATAAATGCTTTATGAAAGCAGCATAAGAACAAAGTATGGAAAATCAAAGGAAAATCCTAAAATGAACTCTTCTTGCCCTAGGGCAGAGAACATGGCTGCTGTATCCTAGTGTTCCACTCCTGTGGGGAAAGTTTTGTTTTTGCGAAATGTTACACATGTGCCAAACTGCTGCGGATATTTGTATAACCCTTTCTTTGTCTTGCTGTAGCAGTTAGTTATCAGTGTGGTCAATGCACAGCATGGTCCCAAGCCTGCAGGCACATAGGTTGGGAGTCAGTTGCCTAATCACAGCCATCTATGTTGTGATGCCCTCAGGTTTTGTCCCTGGTCTGCTGCTGCCCCTCCAAAAAAAGGCACAGATCTCATGCAGAGCCTGTGTTATACGCCAGCTTTGTGCAGATCTCTTGGATACACAGGACATCTAAAATAGCTGTAGACACCTATGTTTAGGCAACTGAATACTCACTTGTACTGTATCCATTCAACCAGTAGGACTGTTTAGGCAACTGCAAGACAAAGCTTTAGATTTCAGAGAGGAAGACTTCTCACCTTCTTAGCTATCTGTATTCTGCTGGCCTTCTGTGGAGAAATACTCTCAAACATAAATAGTAGTATGTAATAAACTCACAGGGAAGAGTTCCCTAATGCATTCACTTATATGGTCAGAAAGTTCTTAGCAACAAAGCCTGAAAGTCATTTGGCCATCACAACTGAGCACTGGCAGACCTCAGAAGTCTAGCTTCTTGGGCACAGAGACTTGCAATACAGCAGACATGCAGTGGGTGGTTATGCATACAGTGGTCAATCAGCTGCCATCCAGACAGACGTGAGCAATGTTTGTCACTGTTCTGTGCTTGTAACCACTGAGTGCTTCCAGGTCAAGCGACAAAGTGCTAATTAGAACACAGCAGCATGAGGGGAAGGAAATTTCTGCTTGCTCACTGATACACATAACTGTGAGCCAGGCTCTGTCCCTGGCTCCACTGCTTGTTCCATCACAGGCCTGATTAAAAGCCCTGGTGATGCAGAGAGCATCTCTCTGATTTGAATCTGGAAGGCAATAACCATAAAATCCCTGGGGCCCTTTTCAGATATCCACATGCTATCAAGTAATTGACAAACCATTTATGTAATCCTTAGGTGCTCCATTGTCCTGGCACCTTTCCCTATGAAAGTCCCTCCCTCCTATGCGCAGAGAGCAGCCGCCTGAAGCTTTCAGGATCCTATTCTGCTAAGCAACTGTTCAACACTCAGACATTGTGAGACTAAGTTTTTGTGGATGACAGCTACAGTAACTCTACTCTGCTTCCATCACCTCATCTGGGGAAGGGTGAATTCATGATTTTTTACACAAAAAGTGGATAAAACTCTCTGTTGGCCACCCTGGCATTGTTCAACTTCCATGTTCCCAAAGGAGCTTAACCTCAGCAAAGAAAGGCAGGAGACAACTGCAAGGCTTTTGGCCAGTAAAATCATTCCAAATCCTTGTATGCCTAGATTTGAAGAGCTTTTGAATCCAGGAGGACTCACAAAATGCAATTTGGCCTTTGCACTGTTTCAACAATGAGCCATAAAACTAACACCCTGGACCAGTTCTAGTCTCTGTTCGTATGAATTTACCTATGCACCAGTAACTCTAATGTAACTCCATGGAAGTCAATCAAGTGGTGAAGCTTCCACACTGAAATTACTAAAGAAAGGAACTTCTGTCATACCAGACTGCAAATGAAGCTTAGGGGAACAGTTTCAATCCTGGAAGAAGAAAGTTCCCAGTTATGCAGGGTAGCTCATATCTCATGAGCCTGTTTTTAATCATAACCTCTACAACGCAGTTACACAGCTCATGCTTTACTACTTGGATAGTAGTTGCCAACTGGATGGAAACCTGACTTGGTTTCCTATCTTTCCTATTGATGGGAAAGCGTTCTGAAGGATATTTGCTTGAGCAGCGCAACAGCTTAGCATGAGCCTTCCTAGAAATGAAACATAGAAATCACTGCTTCCATTAATTGCACTCACTTGCTCTAGACAATGTGAGGTTCATACCAATACCTTGCTGAACCCTCACAAACCACGCATCAGCACTGCTTTAGACACAGGCAGAAGAGGTAATTGCTAAGAGTAACATTTTTCTGGAATGGCAAAACAGCCTCGCTACCTACTGGCTTTGGCTCTACTACTTACCTCATCAGCTTGTACCAGCCCCCGCATCCACCACTCACCGCCTGGGAGGTGGAGGCAAAGCACTCTACAGTGTTGGTGGGCTCCTGTTGCTGCAGGGATATGGCATGTGCCAGCATGTCCTGCAACACAGTGCTATTTACTTCTCAGCCTTGATGTGTCAAGACAGTTTTGTCTGCATCACTGAGATGCTTTGAGCTAGCTCAGCCTGGCACTTCTTATGGAGTCCTTTTGGCACAGCTGATTGCACAAGCAGGTCCAGATACTCCTGAAATTGAATTTGTTTGGAAAAAACCACCCAACTATTTTAATTTGAATCTTAAAAGAAGATAGAAAATAAAGATAGATCACTGTCATTCCCCCTCATGGTTTCATGCTTACCAGGGGTAACTTCAGCTGCATCTAAACCACAATGAACTAATTTCAGCCCATGCTTCAATGCGAGCTAACATGCAGTGTATTTAACTGGTACCAACTGAACCAAGGTCTTAGAAACAGAGTTTGGCCTAAGGTTAGAGTGGAAGGAAAAGATCCCCTTTTCAACTGCAATATTGTATCTTGAGTGCTGATAGCAGAGAAAGAAAGTGTGACCTGTCAGAGCAGAGGAGACAGAAAACATATGTTTCTCTCCGGTTGTGCTGCTGTAGGTCATACTGCCGTGTATAGAACAGGTGGCTGATTTCTCCATAGCAGTTTGACAATCCTATCAAAGGGGATTCCTCTGCATAGCTATGCAAGTGATGAAGAGACAAAGTAATTTGTTTCCCATGGATGTCCCAAGACAATCAAGATTTGGACCTATTTTCCCATTCTGAATATTGAGCACAGTCCAGTGAACAGGGCATATACTCTGCTAACACTGAACCTCTTCTGTGATTGGGTGACATGAAGCAGATAAATTATTCTTGCAAAACTGGAAGTTGGTTAGATAAGCTTGGGTATTGCACTGAAATAAGTAGTGCTCCTAGTCTCAATCTCCAGATATTTCCAAGGCTGAAGAACAGAAGAGTTTCTGGTTCGTTAGAGGAATGTCTGTTCAGCTTGAATCTAACACTTGATAGTGCTGTGGCCAGAACTCTGAGCCAGAATAAATACATTAACTTTGGTGTTTCTTTCATTCTTGAACTATGTCCCTGGTTTCTGAAATACTTAGTTGTTCAAAGAATGAAACATTGAGTCACCAAAAGTGAGAGCTGTAACACTGAGGGGGAGTGAAGCCATCGGCAATTCTCTCTGTCACAGGTGAGAAGGGAGGAGAAAAGCAGCATTCCTCAGCTTTATCTTTTTATGGCCCAAACAAGTAAAGTCTGTCAGATTCTGCTGGCTCTCTGATCAGGTCTGAGGTGCTTTGGTGCGATGACAATAAGTATTAGTCATGACCACAATGTTATTTGTCCTGTAGATACAGCTGGGTTTTGTACTTGGATAATGAGCGTCTCAACAGGGAAAGTCTGGGCATTCTTCAGAGATGCAGCAGGAAAGAGGGTAAAGATCTCTCCTTGTCTTGTCTGGTTCTGCTGAATCACAGTCCCAGCAATCCCAGGATACAGGAGTTCTTCCTCAACAACTCTCCCAAGGAGACAGGACAGAAGGAAGAAAAGAAGCAGAGCTCTGGGTTTGAGAGAGCAGCCTGCAGCTCCGCGAAAGGCCTTGCAATTCACTTGCTCTTCTGCGCTTTGTGTTGCCTTAGGAGGTGTTCCCTGACAGCACAGTGCTAGCCAACAGCAGTGAAACTCCACACTGACTTCAACAGAGGGTAAAAAGTGTTTCAGTCCTAACCAAAGCACTGCTGGGTTTTCTATTAAAAACACCCCAAAACGGCTGTGAGTTATGCCCAATAAGTTTAATAATTGATGAAACCATAACAAGTGACAACTACAAAATACAAAGCAGACACGAAAAATGATGGCATAAAAGTGGGAAGGAATAGTGTCTGCGATGAAAAATGAAAGCGAAATACACTTAACAGAGGATATGGGTTCAGATATAACACACACGGTCACGTACAACACCGCATTAGTAACAGCACACACAGATACTCATTATACTGGGGATTTTCACAGTTCTCCACTTCATCCCAGATGACAAGTAAATTGACGTTTTTACTCTCTTACGTAAATTCTTGTGCACACAACATCATCAGCACCAAAGGTCTGGAAAAGAAATAGAAATCAATCTGAAAAGATGGAACCAGCAAACATTTAACACCATTTTTTAATGTTATTTTTACTATAGTAGCTAGTTCTACAGCAGAAATACATTTTCCTATGTCTTTTGACAGATAAGAGTAAAGAAAGGAGTAATTTTGGAAGAGGAATGCAATGTAAGTGACCTTTTTTCCAAGGCACGATGGATTTTGTCAGAATGATAAATGATGCAGAAATTCCCTTTTTTTATAGTTTCTTGGCATGCATTTATAAATAAACATGAGAAAAGAAAGGGAATTTGGAATGTACTGTTGTTATATTTAGAAACAGTTGCAGCACTTTGAACTGGAAATGCTGAGGGTGGAATTCAGATGGCACGTTCAAAAGGCATTCTTTGATATTTGCAGGTATAAATCAGAGTAGTTCAAATGAAGTCAGTGGAGCAATGCTGAAGACCAGGAGAATGTATACTTATAACCTGTAAACATAATGCTGCTGCAAGATGCTGACACACCATGCTAGGATACCAAAACCCTCTCTCCCACGCTGTAATGTGGGCAGTGTCAATCACAACCTTCTTTCAGGACACTGTGACCTTAACCAGTGAATTTGCTAACTGTGATAAGGGTCTGCAATGAGGGCACACAATGGAGAAAAATGCAGTGATCAAACACATTTCACGTGACTAAACACCTATGAGATCTCACAAACGTTTGATCACTACGCATCTGAAAGTCACTGACTTACTACAGACTATGTCCCATTATCATCGCGTTTCTTATACCAGATTCAGTACCTCGGAGTACCTTGATTTTCCAGATACTTAGAGCTGGTGTTATATGATGTTATACCATTGACTGAAACAGAGTTTCAGATATGCATCTGAAAGCCTGCGGTTTTTAAATTGCTCTATAGTTCTGTACTTAAAAGGCAATTCTACCACAGCAATATTGCGGTACAGATTATCAGGACATTTAGGCAGGACAGTGATTGTGGCAGCTGTCTGAGAAAGCCACCTAACCCCCAAAGTGTTTGTATGTAATTTCAGGTCTGGCAGGCTAAATTCAAAGCAAGCAATTAAACATGAAGGAAACAATGGGTGCAAGAGTGAGGAAATACTAACTGCAAAAAACTTCATGTTCAGCTACAGTGACAGACAGTTTCGAGGTCACCACTAACAAGTTGTGAGGTGGGATGTTTGGCTGTAATAACCGCCAAGGTCTCACTGAAAAATATAATTAAGAACTACCCCAGTGTGTTATGAAAAGTCAGCTGGACTGTATTTGTTTTAATGCTTTGTACGCCTGTTTTGGCCAACACCCCTTTGAAAGGACTTGGCTTTAAAACTGACTCTGGCTTATATTTTGTTCACCTTATTGAGGAGAAAAGTCTGTTAGTATTTTGGAGAGAAAGGCTTTGTTTTTATGCATATAAAGAGCTTATCCTACCAATCTTGATACACATTTTTAGCTTACACATGAAAATTTTTGAAAATGAATGTTAAAGGATGCAGATATTGCACCAGCTGCAAATACCCTTACTATGGCTTCCTTCAACATTTGAAAATTATACACAAAGGCGAAATTATTTCGGCAGGAGCTTTGCCAGAGAAAGCCAGTCAGAGTCAAGACCATCCAGGGCTTGAAGTTGTCTGTGGAGACTGGAAGGTCACTGTGACAGTAATTGTCTTTCTATGGTACATTCAGGCACTGCTAAGCACAGTGAAGTTTGGGTCCCCCACTGCTATTTCAACACAAATCATAAATAATAGTAAAACAGTCTTTGTGTAGTGTTCTTCAGGAGCTGGCACGGCCCCAGTCTGACAGTTGGAGCTGCACAGCTATGCAGCCACATCTTGTGATGTGAGTGGATGCCACATCAGCCAGTTCTAATGAGAAGGGCTGCAGCAGCAGTTTGCCAAACTCTTGTAACCTCCCTAGTACATTTATGTCTATTCTTTTGGGGAAATTAAGAGACAAACTTCTTCCCCTAAACCTGTGCAACAGCAGTTATTGTCACAACAGGTCAGTAGTTGTATTGAGAGGGAACACCGCAGGGAAGAGTAGGTTGAAATAGATGTGATCCATACTGCAAGTCTGTCCTAGGGTGCCACTGTAAGTCTGAGTGTTTGAAATTCTAGTGTCCAGTTCTGAGACTGCAGCCCTGGGCAGAGCTGGCTCCTAAGACATCACTGTAGTCTGACTGGCAGCTTCATTGCAAGACCCGCAGGCGGGAGTGTGAAAATGAAGATAAAAATTTGTGGAGGAAGAAGAAAGAAATAGTAGCTTTCTGGGAAAGCTCAGTAGTATGGGTGTACCCAGAATGCCTTGCAGATGCAGCCAGTCCACTGTATGTACACACAGACTGACTGTTGTGCACTCACAGAGTCACAACTTGACACGCTTGTGCCAAAGCGCAATGGCTGTTCGTTTTGTACTTCCAACATCCAGCTCCAGCTGGACTTCTGGACTCTTGAAAATCTCAGGCAAAGGACTGCATTCAAATTGCTCTGTCAGGATAAAAATTAAGAGCAGAAAACATGGACGTACCTGGGGAACCCAAACACATAGTAGTCTTAGTCAGTTGCTATACACAAGGATTGTCATTCTGTGCAACACACCAGTCTCACAGTCTGGAAAACCACTATAGTTTAACACAATCATATCTTTAAATCTAGATCATAAAGAGATAAAATTCATGCAAAGTCCATTTACAATTACTCTGGAGTACCATGTAGCCACTGGGCACTTCTCAAACAGCCAGGCATCCTTTCCTTGAAGACCCAGCTTAGGTTATGTGGCCTCTGACCTGTTTCAGGAATAAGCTGCATTTTTTAGCACTTAGATTTTATACCTTATATCCATTCAGATGATTAGCAACCTAATTCCATACTGAAGCACATAAATAAATGGCTTTGATTGTCATGGTTATGTACATGGTTTAAATATGAACTTATGTAAAAGGTGTTTCCCTATCTTACTGTAACTTACTAGCATTGTTGATAAAACTCTACTAAATATTGCTAAACAAAGCAAAGAGGAACATGTTCAAACTTGCTGCATTCCTTTTCTTGTGGTTACTCACAAAAATGTCTAATACACAGCTGGGCCCAAGCTCAGGGGAAGGTCCAAATCAAAAGGCTGTTACTCCTCTATCCTTCACACTTAAATCCTTGTATTGAGGGGTAGGATGAAGCAGTTTAGTATCTATGATTCTAATTCTAGATTGGAAAGAGCTGATAACTCCTGTCAGAACAAGCAGACTTTAAAGATTTCCATGACCCAAGGGAGTAGAATGTCCTAATAAAAAGCAAGAGAGCGAGCAATCCTGCCTATTTGGTGGTGAAGTTTCACCAGAGCAACTAAAAAAAAGTGCAACACTACCAAACTACAAACACTTCAAATCTAAGGAGAAGATGTGGGATTTTCAAACACCACCTTCTCATCAGCTTGCCAAGGTCCCACTTATCTTACAAAATGCTACGAGGCAAGGCTTCTATCTAAATCTAAAACAGGATTTAAAATGTGCAATGACTGCAAACTACAGAATTGTTTTCTTCACTTAGCTTGCCATAATCTGTAGCTGAGAGTCCAAAAGCACACTGCAAACAAAGCCTTGCACAGGGGGATAATCCAATAAATTGACCTCTCTCAGTTCACTAAAAATCTGATGACCACTGACATCATTAAAGATTAAAAGAGAACTACAGGGCAGTAATATATTACTGTATGAGTAAATCTGCTTTTTGAAGGCCTTCTTTATAAACATTTGCTGAGGAGCCTTTGTGATAGGTGGAGCACACAGTATAATTAGGAAGACTGCCATTGAAACAATCACCTGGGAAAGATCACTTCTGCCAGTGTATGCAAAAAAAAACGTTATCTGCGCATGACTGACCAACCTGCAGAGGTAACTTGCAAAAGGAAGACAGAATACATCAGCAAACAAATGGAGAGAAGATATTACTTAAATGAATCCTCAGAAAAGGCTCTGTCCACATGCAAACTTCCATGTTATCCAGAATAAAGATATAAATCTTCACAATAAAGGCATTGCAGATTTACTTTCTTCTCCTGACTCCCATAGTGTTTTCTGAAAGAGGTTGATCATTATGGGGCTGCAGTCACAGAAGGTGCAGCCCCCACTTTCAAACTTGGATATTAATAGCAAAGCACCCGACATACAACTTTACTTTCTGTAGGATATCAGTCGACAGGACAATGCAAAATAAGGTCATTTATCAAGGTACCTAAATGCTGGTATTTATGTTTGAGAACTGCTATATTATACAGTTTCCTCAGAGTCATGCAGCAAATGAATGACAGAGGTAAGAACATGAGACAGTGGTGTCTCCCAGTAGTAGTCTTGAAAGCCAGTACACAGCAAACACCTAAGCTACAACTGATACTATAAGAGGCTATATACAGGACCAGATGCATCCAAGATGCAAATGGCTTTGGCTTCTTTCTTTGCTTATGTGTTTGGGACGTGACCCAGACCAGGCTGTACTAGTGAGCAGAGGCTGCAGATCCCTAAGCCCCCTTGTAAATCTGCTCATGGCAAAGAGTAAATTAAAGCATTAGGTCCATGCAACACATACGTATGCATTATTACAGGCTTCTGAACTTTTATCAAGGCTGCTTTAATGAGGTCAGCAGCAAAACCCCCTACTGACCTCAGTATGAGTAGGCCCTCCTTTTGATAACTGATTTTATTTAAGATCACTCTCCAAAAACTATAGAAAAGTTAAACACTTAGGTAGTTTAACGTTGTTCGATACAAGGCTTAGGCACATCACAAATCTCAGCGCTCAGCTGCAAAGTATCTTTCCAAATCTGCATTGACCCTTCTCACCTACTATGTTTAATTCCAGAAGCCAGCAATATAATTTAAAAAATGTTCACTCGCTCATCTAGGCTCCACAGTTCACCAGTTTTAATCAACTACAGCATGATTTTTCTGGGGAGGGAATGTACAATAGAAACCATGCTTGAACCCCCCCTAACGTTCTGATCTTTGACCCTTGCTGTAATTGATTCTGAGAACCCCTGTGTGATACATGAACTGTGTAAAACGTGGTCTGAGGCTGTTTTTAAAGCCCCTCTTCAGTAATCATCCACTTTAAAATGTTTGTGTGTTACAGATTAAACTAAAATCTATAGAGGCATGAGCAGCTATGAAAGCAGCAATGCAGATAAAGTTTGAATATAAATGTTTCTCATTTGAATAGCTAACATTTGGAAGCAGCATCCTTTAACTTTGTAAGAGCAGACCTTTTGTTCTTCTGACTTACACAAGTGATTGATAGCTCATTAATGTCCCTGACAAAAACACACAGCAACAGCAAAAACATTAGAGAGTATAAAAGAAAAGGGAAGAAAACGATTATTAGAATAGACTTAATCCCAGATCTTACTTTTCAGACAAGTAAAAGATATACATTTTTGTGTTATGTTCTGATCTTGATTGCTCAAGTGCTAATCCAAGTATAGTTTATGAATGTGGAGTCCTAAATACAGATATTCTGACTCTCTGTATGCATTACAGTCTTAAAGTATAATACAATAAACTCTAAAGATACAGTCAAGGCAAACAAATGTGGACTTTGATGGGGTTCCATCCATTTCATCCTCCCTTGCTTGCATATTCCATGTAATTTTTTTGTTCGGTACTTCTAAAAATGCAGCACTGAAATCCCAGCAAATGCATCAGATGAGATTAGAATAAACAGCACCGATGAAAGTAGTTGCAATGTTCTAACACATTCACAGCACCTTTTTTATAAAGCAGAGCTTGATCCTTCTTCCCTTACTCAGCTGAAAGGACTCTTTCTAACAGGACTTTAGACCTACATCTGCCATTGTATGAGTCAAGTATTATTTATGCTACTAATAAAAGTAATCTCATTCTCCATGCTGCAAGGAGCTGAGGAGAACTAAAGGCAAACTTAACTGGTAACTGAAGGTAAAGAAAACCTTTGCTAACTAAATAGTTTGTTCCCAGCACCTGTGCACCAAAGGACATGATGCGTCAGGAAAGACCACCATATCGCTCCAAGGGAATATCTTTGAAGAACATAAGGAATTTTTCTGCCAGGATGCAAGAAAGACTGATAATTATACAGTAATATGGTTTCTATTTTAGCTCTGTGGTAGTCATGACAATTCAACATTGATTTTTTTATTATATGCAATAATAAATGCATTTTATTTAGCATGCTGTGTTGGGGAGAAAAATATATCCTTCCATTAGAAAAATGTCATAATCCAGTGGACCCCCTAAGCAATGCAGCATATTAGATCAAAATTAGGTGGCAAAGCTCCAACATTTATGCAGCCAGTATTAGCAGAGTAAAACTCATTCCTTACCCCCTGCCTGTTGCCCCAAGCCTTTTTTCCATTCATGCCTCAGTCTAACACAGTTTAGATTCCTTCTTGCAACTTTTTCCAAATGGGGTATGAGTCTTCTTGATTTCTTCTGCAAATGCATGTAATAGCTAAGAAGGAGACTCAAGACTTCTTGAAAGATTTCTTTGGATAGAGAAACAGGAGCAGAGACTGTGAGAATAAGTACCAGCCTTACAGAGTTCCTAAACTGCTACATCACAGGCTCTGCCCCATAAAAGACAGCTTCCCAGCTGCAGACATCTAGAAGTTTGTAAGAATGTGGTTTCCATCTGCTTATTTAAATCTCTCTGCCAGAATGGAAATAGGGAAAGCTTACCAAAGCACATCAGAAAGAGTAAAGGAACAGAAAATATTTCTTAGGTAAGTAGGGAGGTTTGAGAAGTGTGAAGATGGGAATTGTTAAATGTTTGAAGTGATATGGGCAGCAAAACTGAATGAGAATGAATTTCAAGTCCTGAAGAACCCCAACAAAGCTGGGAGGATGGAAGAAGAAAGAAAGGAGAAGACAAAGAAAGATCTCCTCACTGTGATCTTAGTTTTGAAGATGTGAGATGTAAGTGGGGGTTTGCAGACTCAGATCCAAGGAAAATTTCCAAGAATAAGATAAAATAATCTAAGCTGAATCTTCACTGGAGTGATGAAAAACCCACACACAGTTGAGAGGCAAGAGATCAAAAGGGATCACAAGGCTTTCTCACTAGGACCTCCTATTCCTACTTTGTCCCTGGGCCACAAACAAGACAATGTAGCTTCCCTTACCCTCTTCTGTCTTCTTCCAAACAGTAGAACCCTTTGCTGCCTCCCAGAAGGGTTGATTTTGGCCTTCTTAACTTCTTCAAAGGACCAGAGACCTCATGCTCACCACCATTACTCTTAGAAACGCCTCACTGCTGAGCTTTAGGGTGTCAGAAGATTTTGAACAATGTGGACCATGTATTTAAAAGATTTGTACATTCTGTCCTATCAAATGTCATGAGGGGCTTGAAAATCTTTGTCCTGAGGACCAAGTAATGTCCTAATATTTAATAAAGCAAAAGAGGCCACTATGCTCCATAAAAGAGGTAGGAGAATGGAACTGCCTATCACACTAAATAGTAAAAGACAGAGAGAATGATCTGGATCACCTGGAAGCAAACACTACGTTTTCATAATGGCCACAGTAAAATCATACGTTGCAACCAATGAACATAGTCCCAACTTGCAGGAGAGAGGAAGGGGATCAGTCTGGGGAATAAGAAACCAGGAAAATTACTTGGGATCATGATCAGCTGAGTATGAGTTCCCAAAGAAGAGTTAACAAAGTCTTTGCATATAAATTAGAATAATTTTAGATACGAGCAGGGAAATGAAGTCACCACTACATCAGGTGCTAGTGTGATTGCTAGCAAAACCATATGTGTAGGTCTGGTGTTCATAGTTTAGAAAGGAAATTGATAAATTGGAGTGCTTCTAAAGAAGCACTGAAAGAATGATTCAAGGAAAGCTTGCTTTTTAATGAAGGGCTCAAGGTCTTCCAATGGTTTAGCTTAACAACGAGAAGGTTCTTCCAAGAGGTGGCTTGATCAGTGTTGTTAAGAGAAGTATTTGCAATAACAAACTTTAAGCATATTATTAGGTTATTTTATACACCATATGTAATGACTGGAAGTTGAATCTAGACATATACAGATTAGAAGTAATGTGTGTATTTTAATGGCAAGGAAATTAACCAGTAAAACAACTTATCAAAAGTTGTGATTGCGTTCCTATAAATGGAAATATTTTAATAAGAAGGAAGTTTTTCTATCCTAATTTGAAAAATAATTAATTCCAAAAAGCTCAACAGACTGTATTATACAAGAAAAAAGGTTAGATGGCTTTGTAATCTTTGAATTGCTCTGTTTTCTTAACCAACCTCATTCTTCTTCCCCAGCAGGGTTAAGTTCACATTGCTGATTGCAGGAGGCAATTGTATTATGACTGGCTTTCTTGCTTTGCTTGGAGCAGTTCACTTTGTTTAACAGCTGCCTCACTAGTCTGTTGCTTAAATAATAAACTACAGAAATGTATTGTTAGAAAGCTGGAAAAATTATAGTTGAGAATATATTTTGTCCACTGCATTATATATAAAGATGTGAAGCAGAGATCAAAGTACTTCGCCTCCTAAAGGTTTTTGATAATATAAACAATTGCAGTGGTTGAGTCAAAAGAAATTATCCAGAATTGGAGTATTCATTCAATAGAAACCAGTGTGATTTCACTAACAGCATACACCTCCTCATAAGGGGTGGGTGAACAGTTCCAAGATGTCTGGAATAATATTAACACCTTAAAAGCTTTTTGTTTATACTTGGTTAGGTTTGGGTCCTGTTTTTGTTTCAGATGCAATCTTAAAAACAGAGCTCCAACTGCTTTAGAGAAACACTGGGGAGGCTGTTTGTTTTTTAAAGTGCAGACATTTAGTTAGTGTGATAGTTTGAAATAAAACCTCCCTGCTTTGATGTTTTCTTACCCGTCACTCCGGCAGCCTGTCTTCCATGCCCAAACTGATGAGGCGTAACAGTCTAATCAACTATTTATCCAGAGTTCACTAGTAAGAACATGTGCAATAAAATGATTCTGAACTCAAGCTGAACTGTGCTACTTGTAACTCAGAGAAGGTGTGTCTTTATCCAGTTCTGGCTATTGTTTCATTAATGTCGAGGGACTACTGAGGAAAGATTCAGCGAAAAGAACTCAACTTCAACAGAAATAAGTACAATATAAATAAATAAACTGCGCATGATTCATAGCGTAAATGGTGAGGCAGTTGCAGAGGTGCTGCTCAGAATGCCTACAGTAACCCTGCTGCCATATGGAAGGTCACATGGGAGTGGGAGGATGTTGGCTGACAGCAAAGGTGCAAATTGGTGTATTTCTGAGAAACTCATGAAGGCAATTCGGAACTGGATTCAGAGATAATCAAGGAATTGGGGAAGGTGGCAATGATGGGGGAGGAATTATATGTTCTTCATAAATAGAGTGAGATTAGAGCATGCTAACAACATGCCACATCTTTCCTGCTATACACCATGTGATTGTGGATAAGAAGCAACATATCATGCACATGCCTAAAAAAGAAGGTTCTGCAGAAATATGGTCAAATGCCTTGATCTCACTTTCACCAGAGAAAATCTGCAATAAATCAAGCAAATTCTTTGGTGGTGTTGTGAATTTACAAAGCAGAAGTGGCCCGCTTGTGATTATTCTACCAGTAAAAGTATGGCAAAAGTTACAGCAATAAAATGCAAGTGAGAACCTGCATATATCTTCATTTGTTCTTAAAAAAAACATTTAGAAAGAAAGGGGAAAAGGAAAAAACATTTAAAAAGAAAGGAAAAGGAAAAATCCATAAGAGGATTATGAAAATAGTAGTTTTCCAGATGGATTTAAGTAAGGAAAAATAGTAAGTCATACAACATGGTAACAAAATGTGATGCATGTATTGGGTGGGTTCAAGGTTCTTACCAAAATCAGCTCATCATTAGCTAATTCTCGAGTCCAGTATGTTTTGGGGCCATCTCCCTCAATAAGAGTTTGTTTGCAATAGATCTTGTTTTCATTCTCCCAAGTGGCCAAACTCTGCAGGCAAGAAAACCATTAGGAATAACATTAATTATATTCCCCAGCAGCATGAGGCAGAGAGACAACAATGAGCAGTAGTGAGAATAATTGCTGCAGTAAAGGAGCAACACATAGATAGATAAAGGCAGAGGGAAAAAGACATCAGTGGAAAGTGGTGAAATCAAAATTAAGGTGTGAGGGGGCATTTTGGAAATAGGTATATATTAATAACAAAGTAATTGTAAATCTGTCTTTTCAGTGTAAATCCGCATTTGTTTCCAAATTAAATAGCCACCCAGTTTTCATAAAATGCTTGATGTTGAAAAGTATAATTTAGAAACGTGATAATGTAGTGTCTACATTCCCAAGCATCTCTGTACACATGTGGTTTGATCTGACGTGTTATTTGTCACTACAGAGTCCCCTTAGAGTAAAAGCATAAAGAATCATATGTATCATGTTGTGGCCATAAATAATGCAGTATTTGTCACTTTCAACCTTTCATGCTATATGGCACTGTGCCAAGTTAACTGTATTAAACATTTATTATGCTAACAAACTAGAATAAATCACAACTAAATTAAAGAAACTTTGTTACAATTCTAGTGTTTGCGATACTACTTTTTTAAGGTTGAGAGTCTGGAGATTGAAATACCCTTGGGCATTTTTCAAAGCATTTCAATAATGACTATGAAACCACTGAAAAATAAAAAAAAACATAGGATTTTCTTTAGCTTTCACAGATAGGCAAGCCCTGACTCTGTTGCTTTTCATTCTAGCACTGAACTATTATTCTACAGTGCAATGGAACAGCTGTGCAGAAGGATGCCCTGTAATGAATGTGCAAGTAATCGCTTTATAACTAGCACATGGGAGACATTCATTAGTCTGTGATTATATACATATACATACACATATACATGTGTGTGTGCATATGTATGCATAAATTCAAGTTAACACTTTCCAGACTTTCCAAGGGAAAAAAACCTTTACTTTGATTTAAAATTAGCTGTTTACTTTATAAATATTTTTTCAAAACAATAGGTTTTTTAAGCCAACGAGCCATCTCAAATGGCAGTTATAGAAGCTGTGCCTTGCAGTACAACTACCTATGACTCGCTCTTTGTCTGTATGAACAATGAATCAAGTTAGTTGGCAGAACAAAACCCCCCGCCCCATAAAGTGTATCAAAATCTATCACCAGTCAGCAATTTTGCCAGATATTGCAAATTACATTCTGAAGTATTATTTTATTATCTGTCAGTTTCTGCTCTGTGGCCACATCTTGGTTGTATACACACAGCAGTACAACTTATTCCTCAGAGTGGACTATAAATAATTTCATAACACATGGAAAAAATTTACTACTTCACAAAACACATTTCTTTCAGATTTTTCCAACTTTCATAGCTTACAGCCATAATTATTGTTTTTCCATCTGCAGCAATAAATCCTTCTCTACAAAGCGGGTCACATTTATTGTATATGCATTATGCATGAAGACACTAAAATACTACTTTTGTCGAACAAGATAAATTAACAAAGCCAGCAACATTTCCTGAACAAACTGTTAAATATATGATAACTCATCCTAGAGATCAAGTGGATGTTCTAAATGTTCACTGACTCCCAGAATCTGCCTCCCTTATTCATAAATTTAAATTCACAGCAATTGCACTGGAGATAGTAAGTTCTGAATTTTTAGTGGTGCAAATGGTCTCAGAAGCTGGCCCAAGAATTAGCAGAGACCATATTTTGGAAAGTAGATTATTTCACCATCATAGGATACTTTTAAAACTGTATTCTCATTTGGGACTACATTCTGATACTCTTTATTCATACCTCTTTTATAAGTGTTTTATATATACTTCTCTTATAAGTGTGAGAGTACAAGTGCCTGAGGAAAGGATAACTAACCCATGCCTTCGATAACTTTTTTCAAAAGACAGCTATGATCACCGCCCAGCTCTCCAATACCCTGGATCCCATGTATCTACACCAGCAAGAAGCTGGTGTCAGATGCTGCCGACTTAAAGCCCCCTCCACGGCCATAGAAGTGGTTACAAAGGTGGACGAGCAGGGGCTCGCACACAGAATCAAGCCCAGAACACTCCAGTGAACGCCCTCTAATGCACTTCTGCACAAGGAGATGGTGTAATTATGGCTGGTACAACACTAGCTGAAAGTCTGTCTTACACTGTTAAAGACTTATCTGATCAGCAAACTGGAGACATGCACTTGCAAAGGAATGAAAGAGGATTTCAGCTCCAAACTACCAACAGTCTGCGGTCCTGCTTGTGAACTCAACCGATTCAGTTTAGGACAAAAGTTATGTCAGGTTTGTGCACTAAATCCTGGCTCTTGAGGTCTCTCTTGCTCCACCATTCCCCATGTTCCCATCACGGACAGAGGCTGGGGAGAGCTTTGGCTGTAGCTGAGGTCTCCAGGGGAGAGGGAAGCAAGAAGAGCTGGACAAAACCCTGCCAGTCAAGGAGCTGGCAAACAGGTACTCAAACTCTGCCTTTGGGACCTGCCATGCTCTGTTGCCTTCAGATTTCAGTTTTACCCTGCAAGAGGAAGAATGTCGGGTGAGGGACAAGAGGAGCGGTGACCACCAAGAACCCCCAAAGAGTGTTTCTGGGAAGAAGAGGGTGGGGGGCAGTAATGCCACTGTCTGGGGACACCGGCAGCAGATGTATTTGCCCCACCTAAAAAGAACTTGGTAATACACACACACGCGCCCCAGCTCTCCTCCTACCCTGCACTTTCGTCCGTCCACCGTCTCCTCCTCAAAGCTCTCCCCGATTTTGAAGTTGATCTCAGTGGTGCGGACAGTGGTGGAAGTTTTGATGTAGAACTGGTCCCCGTCCTGGCGGATCTCCACGTGGGGTTTGGAGGCGGCAGCCACCGCCACCTTCCTGAGCATGGCATTGACACCTGGGCGAAGCAGAGAGGAAGCAGAGCTTGAAGTCGCCAGCCGTGCCCAGGGCTGAGCTCGCCCCGCACCACGCGGATC